GAGCTTTGACTTTTACATTTCTTCCTCGTTCAGGAGAAACGTTTTAACCCTCACCGGACCTTCAGGTTTTCTGAATACCGAGGGGACGTTGGGGGTTGGAAGTGAGGAAACACTTCCAACCCCCCTTCGCCGATTCGCCCCTAATTGAGCTAGAGCCTCACGAAAGAAACGATCGTGTGCGTCGTTACGAAATGCAGCGATTGGTCTCCGATTTAAGGACCAGGGTCAGCCAATGACTTCGGAGGTCAGGTCAAGTGGCCCAAGGCACAGGTTCGGTTTTTGGTAAATAACTTCGCTAAAAATGATCGCAGATCCGCGATTTTAGCAGCATCGTGTTTGTCTAGCTCAGGCGTGTCGAATGGTATACTTTTTCTTCGGGTGAGATCAACTTAACCCTCGCCCGTATAGGGGGGGGGGGGGTCGAACGGACTCCCCTCCCTCGGTTTTTCGCGAATAACTCGCGTAAAAAGCGGCCGATCGCGACGAAACTTTCGTTACCCTCGCGTTAATCAATTTTACACCCACCCTGAAATTGTCATGACCCTGACCTTTGACCTGCGACCTACTTTTCGAGACCATGTTTGGCCGGAATCGCGATTCGGCGTATGTCGGCTCGCATTAGCGGCGCGTTTGCAGTCTTTTCGTGGTTTTAAGCGTTCAAACATGGGATATGATGTTGCTTCCATGCATTAGGGTGGGTGTCAAGGTCACCGGAAAGTCAGGTCAGGTCATTGACCTTTGATGACCTCGGTTCACTTTTTCGAGTTTTACATGTTTCTAGGCCAGTTTTAGGAGTTGAATTCGAATTTAGCAGCCATATGAACATTAACGAAGTAGTTTTGGCGCCCTCGTAACATGTTGCGAAGCTGTCAGAGGCGGTTGCCACCTACTACGAATACCCTTACTGGTTGACCTGACCTGACCTGACCCGACCTGGCCTAAATGCATGAAGACATCATCTGTGATCAAAACTAACATGATATTCGTGATCAGCACCCCGAAAACCCCATAGCAGCCACGCTTTACGACTTTCTAACAGGGCCCGTTTTTCCCGACTTTTGGGTCATTGACCTGACCTGGAAAGTCAACCAATGACCTAGGACCTTAAAACTGGGTATCATCGACTTCCTCTCGTCACGGCCAACACGCTCGTTTTTTCCGCGAAGCTCTAGCTCGATCAGGGGCGAAACGGCAAGGGAGGGTCCAACGGACCCCCCCTTCCTTATACGTTTGCGGCTTGAAAAACACCAATACGGGCGAGAGTTAAGGTGTTAACCTCGGGTCAAGGTCAGGTCACAGCCCGTCAGGTCACGAAGCTGGTCAAAGGAGGTCATATTGCATATCTCGATTCGGCAGGTCTTTTCATGTCCATTAGTGGCTTTATCGACTCGGTAGCTTTAGTTGATCGGGAGTTATTGACGAAAAACTGATACCCTTGGTTACGTGATAAATGACGTCACGCAAGATCAACAAAGCAAAATTAAAGCAATGCTTTAATTTTAATAACAGACCTTGCAAGGAGCGCATGAAAGCACGATTCCGTGTGCTTGAGAATTTGAGATAGTTGTATATCATTTCCGGACCAAACTAGCAATTTCCATATTCCCCTGACTTTTAATGGTGAAAGACTGACCTGATCTCAGGCGACGCTTCAGAAAATCCGAGATATACATTTATACAAGCTGTGAGACTCTCGATCATACTATAAGATCCTGTAAGTTTCATCTCCCTAGGAAAGCTCTGCACTGAGGGTGTTGCGAAGTTGGAACATTTTAGGAGTGTGCACACAGTCCTAAAATGTTGAGGACAGTTTAGGACAGTTTCACACAGTTCATTTTAGGACTGCTCATTTATGACGTCATAGATCAGTGACCTGACTTGACTTAAAATGCGGTTTGCGTAAAAAAATCCGACTTATCAAATCCCGACTAAAAAATCGACTTATAATCCGGTTAATCAAATGATCAAATCCCGACCATGTTTTTACCTGGCCATTAATGTTCTAGCCTTACAGGTAATTGTTTGAACGCGGAAGATGCTGAATCTTGGTTAACCCCATACTTATCGTATGATAAAGAACGTCAGTGTTAAAAAGTTGATTAACAATTTTATTTAGGATAGTTTAATTCAAGTGGGTATAATCCGACTTGATAATTTACTAGGAGGGTTTTGCAGCGCTATTAGTTCGGCATTTAATTATTTATAATTTCGATCCGGATATCGTTATTCAATGCTGGCCTTTGCGTCCTCAAAAAGTTGTTTATAGTCATGAAGGCTTGCATTGACCCATACTTTCCATTTTTCAGCACTATTATTCGCCGTAGTTGACCAGGTGTTTTCATCAGCTCTCCCCTGAATCCTTTGGCTTAGACCTGGCGTATCACCCGTGCATCGCAAGACGCACCTACCACACACAAGTTCATGATCCCCACGAACCCACATCAGCGTCCGTTCGCTTGGTGTGTGACCCCTTGACCTTTGGCCGCGACAACTGCCAGCTTGCTGGAGCACCCCTCCCTACTGACGCGCTGCCCCGCCCGCTCCCCTCCCTCCCCCCCCCCCCCCCCCGGGGTCGTGTCACGAAGGTTCGGGCTTACGCTACTACCGGCCGCTGCGCAGCTGTCACCTAGCGCCTGGGAATGTGTGGTCTGGTGCGGATTCAGCCAACTACCGGCTCGCGACACCAGCGCCACGTAGTGGCGACGGTACATTCTTTTTAGACACACTGTACCGCTTCGCTAGAGCACTGACTTTGATAGATTACATCGGGTCATGACATGCATACGGTTTTCATAAATCATATTTTTACGGCACTGGAGAGTTCCCACGCTTTCGGTAGCATGAAGTTGTCCAATATGAGAGATTTTATTCCGGCTGCTATATTTAGGGAAGGACTTGGTCCCTTGTTTACCCAACTTCATCCAAACAGCTTACCTCATCGGGTTATGGAGAAGTCGGCGGATGCACACCGTCAGGAGAACCAGGACGTTTCCAGCCACACCCAGGACGAGCGTCACCAGTGTGACCAGCATTATAATCGCCTTGTTGAGGTCCCAATAAATCCGGCGCTGGAAGGCGCCTTCATACTTCATGGCGTCCCGGTGGCTTGGTGCGGTTGAAGTCCACATCGTCAGAGCAGTGTGATTGTTTGTTTGGTTGAGCATCACCACACTGCCACACTACTTGACTTCGTTTCGCAAACAAGTTACTATAGTCTATAACAACACTAAGTTTTCATGTGCTCACGAATGTTCCTACATCGTCAAGTTTTGCTATTTTGCAACAAACAGAAACTGCATGTTATCATGGCACTGAAAAGGATAAAGCATCTTGCTCCCATCATTTGTGCTATAAGTGGCAAGGGCTATCTCGTATTCATTAGTACAGTACAATCGTTCGTATTGCCTGTGTGTTCTTGTCAATTTCCATCTGCATTGCGCTTCTTTTCACTGCTTTTGGCATGTGACCGCAGTAGCTAGGTAGGTATTTCCAGAAGAGCCAGCCGGTTAATATTTCCAGGATATGTCCGGAATGCTCCGTGGTAACCACCTTCGATCGATACTGAGTTTTAGCTGGAACGTAATATACCAAGATTGTCACAAGCTAGGTATGTACCTATGTGAGAGCTGTAGCGCATGTCAACTGTATCGTATCACTATGGCAAAATGGTATCTGTGGAACGAAGTTGCCTGGTTATTGCTATTACTGCTCTCGTTCTTACATGATGCGGCACATGATATTTAAGGTTTTGTAACGTCAAAGGGGCTAAGCCATTCTGCTATCTTTATTACGGGAAGCCGCTACCTACCACGTTGCTTTTTTGAAGAACGCTCATTTTTAGCTTTTCGTTATTTTATCAGAACCGTTTACTAAGAACGTGCTGCTGGATCTAGCATACTCCTAACAAAGTGCGCCGCTTTTATGCACTGACCTGTGGCATTCCGACTGAGGCAGTAGCGGGGGAACACCTTCAATTAAGGGGGACACTGCCGACTTCTGATCCCATTCTTTCCATGCAACCCCCATAGGGCTAATTTTAAAATGCCCGAATCAAAGGGGGGCACGGTGCCCCGCTACCCTCCCCGTTCCGCCGCCTATGGACTGAGGATCACAGTTAAATTCACTTTCAAAGAGAAATAGATATCTTGAAACTCATTTCGATCAGCGTAATATTTACAATTTCATCCAGTTTTATAGACTTATAGTGTAAATTAATGCATTGTAATCCGTTACCAATCGATAAACGGTCGGCTGACAAAGAAGCGGGTATTTTAAGACATTTGGTGAGACTAATGTATACTTAAGTATTCTACCTGTGTACTGCATGGCCCCTTTACACATATAACGTACTGTCAGCTATGAAGACATTCCGACTTCCGTATACCTACTTGAGGAGAATTCGACACAGTTTATGGATGAGTTCGTTAGATATCCTTCAACCAACGTCATGCTCAAGAATGTTTTGTAAATGATTTATTATTTTAATGATCGGACGATAAATCAGATGTCTGTAACCGCAGGTTGTTTCTTCATTAGACAAACACTATTCGTTAGAATTGTGTTTTTCTATTGTATTGCGCTGTAGTTCGTTGAGTCACGGCTCACGTAACTCAAAGACTCTAATAAACGAGTGCTTGAAGGCGAAACATTGAGCTCCTCTTGATCAGTAAAACGAGTCTGCTCTTGCACTTGTTTCTGAAAATAGCGGACCCGATAGCAGTTGCTGGGGTCAACCGAGCTCGTCTCCAGTTTGATAACCTAAGTTGCATCGCAATGCATCGCAATACATTTTGTGACAGACTGGAAAATTTGCTGTTACCGTAAATGCATGAACTGAGAACAATGCTTATGGGGAATGAGAGCTTTTTGTACTCAATGCGTCGGCATTGTTGAAATAATTTGTTACGAGTTTGTTTAATTTAGTTCGTTCATTGCATGATTGTACGTATATTTTTATGTTTGCTTGGGTTTAGAGCACACCGTAAAAAGCCAGCCATTGACGTAACCTTTATTTCACCTGGATTTCTATTTGGTTTCATTTCTGTGCCATGCCTCGGCGGATCTAACCTATGGCGGCCTCGCAGGGAGCCGCTCGTTATATTAATACTTATTGCTACTCTACCAACTTCATATAAACAGTGAACGGTTGTAAGCGTCTCAGCGAACAGGAAGCGAACTGACATCGAGGAGTAGGCGCCGTCGAGAAGCCCAGACGCGCAACAATGGCTGCTGTGTTGCGCCTCTGGGCGACCGACAGCGCAAAACTACAGTTGCCAATATGCGCATGACAATAGCAGGCGACATGACTTCAAGCATCCAACAGCAAACACTCAGCAAGCACGCGCACTCGCACTGGATGGTCTGGTAGTCGTCATTCAATGTGCCGCACTAGTTAAAACACCTAACGCACACACTCTCGCACACAACAGTGGATCAGTATGACGGCGACTAATTAAAGCTAGCGGACCGTCTGCTCCGGCGGAGTCGGCCGCCGCCGCCCGCCGTTCCCGATCTCCGGCCGGTCTGTGATGTCGAGTGGGGCCAGCTCCGGCCGGAGACGGGGCCGAGCGGACGGTACCCCGAGTCGCCCCTCCCTCCCCACACACACAGCACCATCGCGCGCCATCGGTCCGTCGGTCAGCGTCACACCAAACAGCGCCGCGAACAGATAACCGAGAACGAACGCGTCAGCCGACCCAACGCGTCAGCGACCGAGCGATCAGCGCAGCCGGCCGCCTCCCGTGGGCCGAACCCGCCCGGCCCGGCGCGGCGCTCAACTGGGCCCGTATTTACACACACTGGCGCCGGTGGCCGTCTACACGGCCGTCGAGCCGGGCGGTATGCTGCCGTCCGAGATCTTGATGGTGTGGCCGCTCTCTGAGCCGGACACACCGTTCGTCAGGGCGCCGGGCGCCGCCCCCGCCCCCGCCCCCGCCGCCGCCGCCAGGTCTTTGGCTGGCGTGATGGCGATCTTAATCCGCTGTGGGAGGCACGGCGAGCGGTCAGTGAGTCAGGACGTGACTGCTACGCAGCAAGGTATCCTCAGATTCCTACTCGACGCTATTTCTGCTCGGCAGTCGTAAATAATAAAAAGGTAGGCTAAGCTGGGAAACTTATCCTATTTTGTTCAAATGTTGGCTTGGCCTACATAAGTTCTAAGAAGAATAGCCCGGACATCTATGTATGTAGCTGTAAGCGGGTATGGCCTGTGTCCCGTGGCTCGTTTATACCGGGTACAGGGTGCGCGGGGTGTGATCTGTACCCGACTGTACCTGGTAGAGTGTACCGGGCGTGATGGCGATCTGGTAGACGGCCATTCCCGGTATCATGCTGACGCTACTGAGCGCCAACAGCCAACCCACGCCGTCACACCAATCCGGGAAGTGGTAGCCCTTGTAGGCCAACGGCTGGTGGCCGATCAGCGTGAATATTATCATCGCCTGAAACACAGCCACAGGCAGACACCGGGCTCAAACAAAGAACACTGAAGCTGGAAGAAAACCAAACTACCTCTACAGACGTTCTGATTAAGATCTGAATGTGTAAACAAATCGTCTGGAAAATAGCAATGTTCAAGCACGTCAGCTAATCTGGTGTTTCAGCACGGCGCTGGTGGTATAATCGGTATAATCGTTCTCGCAGCTGCAGATTAGCGCAGATGATGCACTCACACAGATGAAGATGGGCCCGATGAACTTCCAGCAGAGTCTCCAGTAGAGGCCCGGTCGGAAGCCGATCATCTCATTGATGTCATTCACCAACCGGTCGACGCCTGAGGGAGACGCCAAGCCCAGTCACAGCGCGACCCCGGAGAGAAAAAGGGAGGAACGAGGAGCGCGAGAAGAGGAAAAGGAGAGGGGGAAGGACGCAGAAACGGAGACAGATTAGAAGCTGGGTATTTTAGTTACATTTGTCGGTAAGCTATGGACCGGACATGATTTTTTTTTCATCCGCTGCGACTTTATTCCGTGTTAGTGACACGCTAACCAGCAGGGCGTAAGGCATTACAGCGACCTAAAATCGTGCTCTTTTGTGTGAATGTCTTGTGATCGGCACTCAGTGAATAAATTTGCGACTTACCGTAAATGTAGGACACGGCGATAGCTTCGAAGAAGACAGCGCAGAGAAGTGAAAAACCGAACACATATTTTTCGAGCAGCTGGAAGACAAGGAATCCACCCTGCAAATGGATAAATTAATTTAATTGTTTGGTGAGAACGTCAGCGAACAGTTAAAGGTAGTGTGCCAGCTTTCTTGGACCGTATGGAGTTAATGGCCCAGATAAGGAGAACCGGATTTTTAGAACTTATCCATACCTTCAAAACTCATGGAAACGTCTTAACCCTAGAACGCCTAGGGGGGGGGGTTGTATCAACCCCCCCCCCCCCTGAGGTTTTTTCGAAGTGCACGCTAAACGGCTTGTCGTAGCGGGCTGAAATTTTCAATACCCTCTGGGGCAACCTTTGCGCATCTTTTGCCGAAAAAAAATTGATCGGGTCATGTCAGGTCACGGAGTTATGACGTCATAAGAGGTACAGCCTCCGGCCGGATTTTCACAAACTGAGTGCCAACGCCCGAGGTTTCCTGCCGGTGGTACGGACATCGGTTGATGGATCGTGATGAAACTTCCCATGCATGTTGGGGCAAGTATTGGCTATCATATGGTATAAGAAATTTGACCGGGTCAGGTCAGGTCACGGAGCTATGACGTCACAAGAGGAACAGCGTCCGGTACTATTTTTGAAAAGCGCCCGAACCACTATTTTGCTAATTCTTGTCACCTCAATGGGAATATGCAGCAATATTAGCTTCTATAGGGAGCAAATGGACCTCTCAAATCCAAAAATACAATCAGATTTCAAAAATTTAAATTTTGATTTTTCGAATTTTTGCCGCCGACTGTGACCTTGCCGACTTCCGGCGCTCCCAACGCGCCATTTTTAGAGCTAGGGAAACGAAATACATACCAAACGATAGAGAATTGATCAAGGAACACGATAGTGAAGGTTTCAAGTCGATATCTTCCACCGTTTTGCCGCAATCGCCGCCGAAAGTTGAAAAAGTCTATTTTTCCGAAAATTTGACTTTTGACCGGTCAAAAGTAGGTCAAATGTTGACCTAGGACCAAAAAATATACCACCAATCGCGAGATCTCGTTGAGAGCAATCCGTTGGTTTTTTCCGCTAAGCTCTACGACCTTCCGTTTCGTAACGCCAGGGGGGGGTCGTAACAACCCCCCCCCCTGGTCGTTCGTGTTATGAGAAATGGCCTGGTCGTGCGAGGGTTAAATTTTTCAAATTTTGAGTACCCCAGTGCGAAATTCGCCCCGACGGGTTGTCGGTCGTACCCCAACCACATTTCACACCACTATGAACAATAAATGCACACACTGAAATCGCTATTACCGATATGCTCATCCAATCAAGTTTCGATAAACCCGTTCATCATCATCTCCTGCGGTTTCGAACACGCCTGTTAGGTGGCTTCTGATGCTCGTCGAGGTCGGAATTTCCAAATACGCGTGGTGCGTCGGGCCGCGCGCTCTGACAATTCGGCCAAGAAAAATGCGTCAGCTGATCATTGTCATTTCTGCCACTTGCGTGTGGTGAAATGGGGTCATAACTTATAAGACGGCTTTTTCATATCAATTATTTTACATAAAATCATATTTCAAACCATAAATAATGTTCGACAGCCAAATAAAAGAAACAATACCAATACGGGCTTACAGTTTAAGGCTCGACATTGTGTTGTCTACGATTAGACAGCTGATTACTCATTCCCGTACGTCGTATGGTCGTAACACTATAATGACCTTTGCTTATTGTCACAAGTGCGCCGCATTCGCGATTGTTGCCCGACGCCTGTTTGCAGGTGAGCCCACTACAGTTGTTATACATATCTAAAAACCGATAAACTTTTAGGCGAAAAAGGCACTATTCCAGGCCCATTTTTGATTTTTTTTGCGATATTAGGTAAAAACAGAAGCTTCTTATCCTAGGAAAAATAAAATGGGAAATCTTTCAAAGGTGGCACACTACCTTTAACCTTTTGTTGGGCCGCAGATGACTTACATAACGCAAATCGCCACCTAAAAGGGACTGGCAAGTGGGTAGGTAGGTATTGCTACTTAACTCTTACACCTGCACACGCTACTTTTTGTTTGCGATGGGGTAGTTCCTTAGAGGCACTTTATTTCAACAGGCTGGAAGTAAATCCGATTAGAAAAGGTCAAAATCTAAAAACAAATATTTCATTGGAATGTCTTACATTAGATATAAGCTCTTCACTCAACGACACTTACGCAATCTAAGAATTCGTGTTCGATAAATTGCACTTTAATGCTATCAGGACAAAACCATATCCCTGCAGGACCTACTGCTCATCAACTTCAACCAATGCAGCCTTTTGGTCACAACTTTTTACATTCACAACCACTTGCTGTGCGAGTCCCCGTACAAATCACCTACCAAACTGTAAAGCTGTTTGTGCCTGCCGTCCCCAGCCTCCCCATCCCATCTCCCCACGGAGAGGGTCGGGGTCGGGGAAGGCCTGTACCTGAGTACAGCAGATTAGACCGATCAGGAAGTCGAACGTGAATAGAATGGCGATGAAGATCTCCCGGTTGTTGTGGATGATGGGGAACTCGTCACTCAGACCAGTGATGACTGCTGTGGAGCCGCCGAACTGCCCGGCACAGAGACGGGAGGTCAAACAGAGACGGGAGGGTTGGGCAGAAAGACGGGGGACGGACGGAGAGACGGGGAGGTCAGACGAGGAGACGGGGAGGGGTGTACAGAAGGATGGGAGGGACGGACAGACAGAGGGGAGGAGAGGAAAAAGACGAGAAGACAGGCAACAGATGGGAGGACGGACATAGGGGCGGGAAAGTCGGGCCGTGCGGCGACACGGAAGGGCAACGCACAGCTTCAGGTAACACACTGGAAAACACACTCATCGCTCGCTCCTAAAACCATGGTCAGTGCCTTACATTTCTTATCTACATAGGTGCTTGTATGTGGTACATTTTTAATTATTAGGTATAATTTATACCGGTGTAATCAATATAAATGTGGGTGTTACTTCACTCGATTGGGTTTCGTGGACTGTAAAGAACAGCAGCAAAAAAGTAATTCAGAAAGCACAACTGTGAGGAACCAAAAATAATCAAAGAATAATATCGCCGATGTTGTGCATTTCATCGTCCCCACCGAATACCGATCGACACCGATACCGAGTATGCTCGATGGCGGCCATGCCAGACGGGAGCTGCTGCTTTACCGCACTAAGGAACTTCAGGAACTTGTTAAAGCGCAGCGTGGACCACTGACCGAGCTGTCAAGTCCCAGTGTCAGCAGCATCATGAAGAACAGGATAGCCCAGAGCGGCGCGAACGGCATGGTAGCGATCGCCTGCGGGTAGACGATGAACACCAGTCCCGGACCTGTGGGAGCACAGGAACACACGGGTAACGGGCTAGTAACGACCTCCTGCGGGTAGACGATGAACACCAGGCCCGGACCTGTGGGAGCACAGGAACACACGGGTAATTGCACTGGCGCGCTACATCAGAGACGGGCTTCAGGAACTCAGGAAGAGACGAGCAACTGCTCCCAACGCACTGACAGCACTACATATATTGATGCAGACCTGTGAAAAAAAATTGTGCCAATTTTATTCACTGAACAAAGTCTTTCAAAGGTTGAGGCACGGAGCTGTCCTTACGACCATCATACGTTCCTAATATTTCTGCTATTTCCCGTCACAGATCTTCTAAAAAGCCGCAACCGTCGCAAACCTCGCGTCAAATTAATCTCTGCATCCAACTATCGAGAAGCAAACATGTTTTCAGAACTTCCTAACTGGTTTCTGTGTTACACCAAATTTGCATAAATCCGACTAATGAGAACTCACCTTCTTGGGCGACACTTTCGATGGGTTTTCCGGAGATGTGCGACATGTAGCCGAGCACAGAAAAGATGACGAAGCCGGCCACAAACGACGTGCCGCAGTTGATCAGACTGGTAATTATGGCGTCCCTGCAAGCACGGTCACACGTCACGTGACCTCCGAGAAATAGCGTGGGGAGGATACACTGGCGGCGGGACACAGCTAGACCCCGTTCTGGTAAAGCTTTGTTGGAAAACAAAGTACTTTCACAATCAATACATTTTAACATGAATGGTTAGAAAATCAGCACTTGCTAAAAATATCCAGTTTTTAACCCATTTATGCCCAGGAATATTGACCATCATGAAAATCGATGAAATCAAGATATGTCACGCTTCTACCAGGGCCTTGCATGGAATCGAAAATAATTTTTGCCGGCAGCAAAAGTTTTTCGAGAAAAACGTAAAAAACGTGCGTTGCGAAATCGCAACGAAGGGCACACCGGGCGCCATCAGCGTTGCGAAAACGCAACGACGGGCACATCAGACGGACATAAAGTACACTAAACCGCCATATATGCTAGTTTGTTTTAACATATACTTCACCAACTGTTGACAAATATTGCTTGAGAATGCGGAACCCACATCCCTCATGCTTTATTGCCCGCCTAAGAGCCTCAATGAGGGAGCATAACCTAGGGTTCGCGAACGGGGAGATGGCAACAAACGGTCATTATCAACAACCATTGTCCATTTAAAGTACCTAGTGGTCGGCACGTACCCTGGGCGGTGCTTTCTTTTTGGAAGCTAGACAGAGCCATTACCCCATTACCCTCTCATATGAGAACCCCAAACTGAAAACAATTTAACCGAGGATTGGGAGTAAACCAGTGCCTCGCCTAAGCGCCTTACCGCAATACCATTGTTAACCACCCTCCTAGGAGTAAAGTCAAATTCAAATGCAGGATAGTCGTTCCTACTCTTAGCAAAAAAAAAAGAACCTTTCCGGCTTTCACAAATTACCCGCATAAGGCGTAGCGCGTCATAACAACTCGGCTGAAAGTGTCTCCCAGGACCCATTTTATCACTTTTACACCTAATCCCAAACTGTCATTGTCCCACTCTCAGCGACCTTCACTTGTAACCTCTTTCTCGAGACAATGCCAGGGCAGACTGGTGATTCGACGCAGTTCACACTTTCCAAGTGTTCCGTCAATCCGTCCTTTCCATCTTCATAGAATCCTTCTCCTCTATGCCTCAACCCCTGTTTCGAGCTGGACGGGCAACTATATCGCATTCGAGCAGCTCCCATAGAAGCACAGGTCTGTAGCCGGATGCAGTAAGTGCTTGGGAAGGGGGGGGGGGGCTGGTTCATGGGTGGCCTGGATGGTTGGGCTCAGCCTCGACGATTCACCATGCCCGCTCAGACCAATGTTTTCCCTAATTCCAATAATGCTTCTAGCTCTAAAATGGTCTGATTAGACAAAAGGCCTACCCTCAGTAAACAAACAAGCATTGCTTCACATCAACCACCTTATCAATCCGTGCAAACCATGAATTCTAAAAATAAACTATTATTTTCCCAGACGCCCTCATCACCCCTGCCGAAGGGGTCTGTTGCCTCCCCCCCCCCGAGGGGGCATATCCCACATTTGCCGACTCTGGGAGTTATCTTTTCTAACGTAAGGGTCAGCGGATTGTATCCAGAGAATGACAATGCCTATCTGTCGTCTGATACCAGACTACGTCCCCATTATTTAGTACATAGTAGGCCCAATTTTCAAAGTACATCGCTATCTCTCAGCTCCGTTAGCATCGCCGACCGTTTGATGCAGATCCTTATCCTACCATGCGATTTTCAGATGCTCGAAAACCCATTGCTTAGTGAACAGCCCGATAATCTGCGAGAGAAAAAGAAATGAGTGTTTGATAGCTGTTTAAGTGAGTTGATGTGAAACGTGTCGCAACATTCACGTGCAAATGCACCTTGCATTTTACATACCTACACGTCCCTCACGACCACAAAACGAGAGAGAGAGAGAGAGAGAGAGAGAGAGAGAGAGAGAGAGAGAGAGAGAGAGAGAGAGAGAGAGAGAGAGAGAGAGAGAGAGAGAGAGAGAGAGAGAGAGAGAGAGAGAGAGAGAGAGAGAGAGAGAGAGAGAGAGAGAGAGAGAGAAAGAGAGAGAGAGAGAGAGAGAGGGAGGGAGGGAGGGAAGGAAGGAGAGAGAGCTGGGGGAGCGTGGAAGAGAGGGAGGAAGATTGAGGAGAGAAGGAAAGAACCCACAGCGTATTACAAGTGAAGTCTATTTGATATTCCTATACTTCCGCTGCCCTGCCAATTTGCCCCTCGTTGCGTTTTCGCAACACCCCTGTCTTTCCGATGTGCCCAACGTTGCGTTACCGCAACACGACTGTAGTCATATTTGAAAATAGTCACAAACCCTATTTGCAGCATAATTTGTTAATAAAATGCATATTCTAGCTATTGTAGGGACTCTGCAGAATATGTTCACACATTATTCATTACGATATAATTAATCACTTAATCTACTTATTTTGGTTTTCGTGACGTCATCACTGACGGGACCTTCGACTTCCCTCTGGGAGCTCTGGACGGTAAGTTACCGGCCGCACAGACTTGTAACTGCGTAGCATCATGCGCACAACCATGTTAAACGCGCTGAAATGAATGAACTCATATTTTGTCGACGTCGGCCCACGTGTCGCGGCTAGCCTGGCTGGCTCCGGGGTGCCGCCCGACGTTCCGTGCCGCCTGCCGCGTGTTGGTGCGTGTGGTTTTCGGGTCGCCGAGGTGACATTGGCGGAGCTGCGGGGGGTGGTGTTCTCGATGAAGCGTTCCGGTGCGTGTGGACCTGACGGCGTCTGTATTCGCATCCTGCTCCTTTCTTTCGAAGCCATTGGTCCCATCCTGCTCCATGTTGTCAATGCCTGTCTTTCCACCTGTGACTATCCCGATTCTTGGAAGCACTCCCTTGTCCATCCCATTTTCAAGTCCGGTGATCCTGATCTGATCTCCAACTACCGTCCTATTTCGATCGTCCCCACCATAGCCAAAGTTGTCGAGCGCCTAGTGCACCGACAACTTTCCGCCTACATGTGTGACAATCACCTCCTTTCCTCATCCCAACACGGTTTCCGTTCTCTCCATTCCACCGAAACCGCTCTGCTCTCTGTAACCAACCGCACTTTTTCCAACATGGACCGTGGTCTCATCTCCCTCCTCTGCCTTCTGGACCTCAGTAAATGTTTTGACGTCATTCCGCACTCACTGCTAATTTCCAAGCTCCAGCTCTATGGTATCCACCCGACCTGGTTTTCCTCCTACCTTACCGGTCATACTCAGTCTGTCTGCATCTCTTCTCCTTCCGGTGGCAGAGTGGTTTCGAAGCCCCTTCCTAACACCATTGGTGTCTTCCAAGGATCAGCCCTCGGTCCTCTGTTATTCACCATTTTCGCCAACGACCTCAGTCTGCACGCGCCGGGCGCTCATGTGACCCAGTACGCTGACGATACCCAAATCCTTATCTCCGATACCAAACAAAACCTTCCTAACCTTATCCAACGCATGGAGTCTACTCTCACCTCCTTGGCATCGTGGTTCCATGCCCACGGACTTAAACTCAACACATCCAAAACGGAAATCCTCCTCCTTGGCACCCGACAGAATACCAGAGATCTCCCTCCTGCTCAGCGTACGGGTCGGTGGCGGGACCGTTCAGGAGAGCCCACATGTTAAAAACCTGGGGGTCATTTTTGACCGCCACCTTACGTGGGATGCCCATGTCAATGACGTGGTGCGCAGATGTGTCGGCCTCCTGATCGGTCTCCGCCACCTGAGGCGCCTCCTCCCGCGGCGGGCGCTTCTTACAATCGTGCAGGGCCTGGTCGTCTCGCGCGTGAGATATTGTCTGTCTGTGTACGGGAACGGCTCCGCGGCTAACGACTTAAGACTGTTAAAGGTTGTGAATTTTGCCACCAGAGTAGTAGCCGGTCTCCGCAGATACGACCATGTGTCTCGCGCGCGGGGCGACCTGGGCCTGCACACACCGCGCCAGATGTGTGACGCGCAGACTGCGATTGTGGCACACAGGGTGCGTGCCCTGGGGGAGCCCGAGGAGCTCGCCTCACTGTTCGTTTCATTCGCTGATGCACGACAGTGTGATCGTTCTACCAGACAGGACGGGGACCTGCGTCCGCCAGCCACCAGAACAGCGGCCGGGCGGCGAGGTTTTGCCTACCGAGCTGCATCGCTTTTAAACTCTCTACCTAATGATGTGACACGGCTCGAGCCATCAGCTTTTAAGCAGGCTGCAAAACGTATATTTTATTCGGAGTGAGTGTGCGTGGGTTTGGTGTTACTGGTGTGTGTGTGTGTGTGTGGGTGTGAGTGTGTTGTTGAGCCAGACGATTGTTATGTTCTACCTTGTACCATTTTGACTCTCCCAACCGTTTTATTGATTGACAATGGACACGTAATAGCCACTCTGTTGTGGAGTGTCTGCTGAAGTGAATATATAGTGAAACTTGTCTCATCGGTGAGACGCCATTACACACTTCTCAAGATTTGATCACGTCGACGCTTGCTTGTGTTGCGAAAACGCAACGAAGGGCGTAAATGGGTTAATTAAAGCAAAGGCCTGGCTACGCTATGCGTATTCTGCCTGCGTTTTTTTGTGGGTTTGCGTTTTTTTTTTGTAATATCGTTCTAGAAAAAAAGTTATAAATAATATAATTTTTACATTAGTTATATGCCTACAAAAGTTAATATAGCTATTATACTATCTAAAATTTAATATAGAAAATATCACAAAAAACGTGATATCGCTAGTTTTTCTATAACGATATTACGCAAATTCTGCAAACCCGCAAAAAAGTAGGTACGCAGAAAACGCATAGTGTAGCCAGGCCTTTACTTTACTCGAATGAAATTATTGATGTGCGCAAGCTATATTTGATGACCAATTTACCGATTCTTTGAATGTTAAATTCTTTAAGCTCCCAAAATATCCTCATCGAAATATATCAATATTAGTATCTAAATACCGTTCAACTTTTTAATTTTGCTCTGAAATAGAACTAAGGCGGAAGCATCACGCCTCACAGAAGTCAATTCATTGCGACAGTAGGACTGTTTCTGTATTAGTCCAGTCCAATGCTCTGCTGCGGGGCGAGGCCTTAATTTATCGCCTTCTTTTTCCGCTCAAATGGGTGCGGCGAAATATTGAGCGACCAGCCGGGGACGTAATCACATTCAGATGAAGCAATCAGTTGGGAAGATTGATTTTGGCCGATAAGACAGATGCCCCCGTACTGCGAAAAGCATTATGGCTTCACTTACTTGTAGACGTTGTTGTGAAATTTATTGTACGAAGCAAATGCCAGAAGAACTCCGAAGCCCGGTCCCAGCGAGAAAAATATCTGCGTCGCTGCGTCTACCCAAACCTGAAAACATAAAGGCACATTACTATGTGTTTGCATTGTGCTGTTCATGTAAGGATAGGGGTATTTGTCCAGTTTTATCCATCGGTTGGCCCTCTCTTTTGAAGCTGTGCTTGTTAGCCCTGGCTAGAGTCGCCACTGTGTCGATCGTCGATGAATATTATTGAGTCTATACTAAGTAAATTGAAAATAATCAAGTTATTTGAAATAAAATGGGCTTGGTATAATGACACCTAATTTTACTAAATTATTTTCTTTTTTAATTAAGAGGAAGGTCGAACGTTCAGAAAAATTATTCAATTGTAAAACTAGTTTCCATAGCGATACAGGATTCCAAGCTTCATTGGACTTGAATAAATATCTATTGCCTATCTACCAATGGGTCGCACAAGTTTTTAGCTTACCTACCCAAGATGTCCACAAATTATATGACATAACTTATGCGTTTTTAGACAATTTGTTAAGGTCACCGTTATCAAAAGCATCAGCACGCGCTTTTTAATCTGCTTACTGGCTTACAAGATGACATAACTACAGGCTAACTGTCCAGTGTTTTGACAACGTGGAAACATTAGGGAGCCAGTCGCGTGCCCGTTTCAGGCGAGTGACAGACGGTCGAACCATCTTCATCTACCTGTCAATCTCCGGGAGTCAATCCGACTCTCCACATAACGGGCTCCTGTCAGCATCCCCCTCCCCCGTCACCCCGTGCCCGGGCCCCGCTAATCCGGCTCGCTCACAGCCGCTCGGGGTCTGTTTTCCGCGTCCGCTGGCAGGGGCGCGGGAACTACTTTCCGACTGGGGGGGCACACCATAATAGAGATTAACCTAGGGTACCCCCAAATCTAGTTTTCTCACCGGTTTTAGGCCACTTATTTTTCACCCCTCGGCTTTTTCAACAAAAAAAGAAAACATTTGCAAAAAAAAGTGTGGTATTCCGTCTCAAAGCTGTGGGGGCACCGCCCCCACGGCCCCAGAGTTGGGGGGGCAAGCTGCCCCCACTGCCCCCCCGGCTCCCGCGCCTATGTCCGCTGGCGGCGAGTGGTGCCCCGTGTCGGCCCAGCCGGCCAGCGAGCCGCACGGCCGGGCCTCACGCCGTTCGCCGAGTGAGTTCCCGACCCGTGAGCTACGGCGGCACAAATCACGGCGCCGATTGGCCACCCGAGTCACGGCTGGCCCCCGCGGCGGCACCCATTCAGCCGCCGATGGCTGTTCCGTGTCGCCGCCGGCGGGCGGTCGCCGGCGCGGCGTACCGCGGCCTGTGTCGCCCCTCGGCACCGTCACCAGGCACTTCCTGCCGGCCGCACGTCGTTGACGAATGGAGGAAACATGAGCCGCCAATTGATACGGCCACCCGAGCATCGGATTTGCACTGCTGGAGCCCCGCTCACCGCTGCGAGACGCGGCGAACAGTGTATGCCCGGCAGCAAGCGCCGCGGCGTCGGCCGAGTCCGGCGGGACAGTCTACATTTCAGGCGCCGTGGCTTCGGCGGAGCTCGCCGGGATAGTCTATCCTTCCAGGCGAAACAACTGCGGCCGCCCGGAACCACTCAGAAACACTCGACACTTGTTGCGATTTAGAACGTAGTTTGAATAAGTTTGACTAGAATAAATTCATAGATGACGCAGCAAGGAAAAGGCAATAATTAACCATTGATCATTGCACAGCATGGTGGTAGGCACCGCGTGCGGCCCGGGTCGTCACTCACGCTGGTCTGGTTGAGTTTGCTGAAGTCCGGGTACAGGTAGTACTGGATGCCCTTCAGCGCGCCGGGCAGGGTGACGCCGCGCACCAGAAGGATGCTCAGCACCACGTACGGAAACAGGGCCGTGAACCACACCACCTGCAAACAAACATACAGTGAGCACACAACTACAAGAACAGAAGACCCCACTTCGCACCAAGACTTTGATGCCATGCGGTATGCATATTGGTACAGGGAACGAGAAAAAAAAAGAGAAAATAGTTTTGTCACTGAATGCACCTAGCGACTGTTGCATCCCGCTGAATAAAGACCTGTATACCAGATTCCTTCAGCATGCATGTGACGCATCATCGTTGCTTTTTATCCAATACAGGCCGCATCGTCGACCCTCAGTCTCTCAATAACATCACCGTGACTCTTCGCCGCTGATTGGTTTGGCGGCTGATTGATGACTTTCTTTGAGGCCATTCACGGAGGCGACAGCGGTGACAGACCGAGTCCGGAGCGCGACAGGCTCGGGAACTCGGCCGGACCACGCTCTGCGGCTCCGGACCGCTGCTCCCCGGGGAGGACCCGGACCGGATGCTCCCCAGTCACCTGGGCCAGACTGACGGACCCGGACCGCTGCTCCCCGGGGAGGACCCGGACCGGATGCTCCCCAGTCACCTGGGCCAGACTGACGGACCCGGACCGCTGCTCCCCGGGGAGGACCCGGACCGCTGCTCCCCGGGGAGGACCCGGACCGGATGCTCCCCACCTGGGCCAGACTGGCGCCCCGCGCCTCCGACACTCACCTTTCCAGAGGTGGAGATTCCCTTCCAGAGTGAGAAGTAGCAGATGATGTAGACGGCCAGCAGGCAGAGCGCCAGGTCCCACTTGATTACCCCGAGGTCGGTGATACCGCCGCTCTTGTCGATCTCCAGCACGTTATACCTGAACGGTAGGCCGAGCGGTCAGCTTCGCAATGAAAAACGTATGACGTGCCGACGTGGAATAGAGATAAGTATTTTATGAGGAAAATGTGTCGTATTAAGTACGGTAATAATAAGCGATATCGTAAAGCGGGCGAATATTAAGCCTCATCGGAGCATGCATGCGAGCTTCCTATAATGATGGACATCTTTTTTGTGTATTTTTTTTTATCACCAACGGTATTACGACGTACGCAATACGCTATACGCTGACAAGTGCTCCCTACAACCCAATGCCCAATAAGCGCACCCTTTGCCCTCGATTAGATGCCGAGTGGCCGGACTCACATCCAGTACTCCTCTGCTGGCGATGTGAAGTTGTGGTCTTCGCCGTCATCAATTTCGGCCAGGCTGATGTTACCGCCGCTGTCTATCGTTGTCTCGTTGGGGTAACTCTTCCCCACCTGCCAGCACATGTAGTGGCTCATGACGGAGGGAGGCACTTTCCAGTCAGTGTTAGTACATAGTTACCTATGATAAACTAACGAATTAACTTTAATAACTAATAAATTAATTAACAAACGTATCTTTACAATTGATACCGAGTTTGTCATCCTTATTAGCTCATACACTGAACATATGTTCGTGATTCATGATAAAGACCTCTGTATATCTCCGAAGGTGTGCACTGTACAGTGTACAGAGGCCTACGTTCGTGATAATAATAAGTTTATAAGCAACGCTTTGTTTCTTATATGAGACATCTTTCACATCCTAGATATTGAATAATCCTAAATAAGCATCCTCCATAAACCGTTTTGCAATATGCGCTGTTACCTTTCTCGGCACACGCAGTGCCTCACCACTATGAAGACCAGACGTTGAAATTCCGGCTCACCTCGACACAGTGATCAGTGTTCCAAGTGTTGTTGCAGTTGGTCCACGGCAGCTTAGAAGTGAACGACGAGAAAAAGTAACGCAGAGACCAGGCCAGAATCACGTTGTAGAAAAGATCAACGTAAGAAGCGATTAGCACGACGGCGTAGCCCACTCCTGAAACGAAAAAAAAGACACGGTTATATGCAAACGTTTGGTATACACTGTAAAAAATGTTTACTTATTTCCTAGTTATCCCGCCACTTTTCACTGACAAAAAGCGAGTACATATACATGAAGTCTACTCACATTTTGTTAATGAAAAGTGAAGTCTACTCGCATTTTGTTAGTGAGAAGTGACCGGATAACTAGGAAGTTAGTAAACATTTTTTTACAGTGCAGACACATCGATAGTATTCCACGTAAAGGTAACCGAAATAATTTGGCAAATATCTCCTGCAAAAAACGGCTGTGTGTACCAAGAGACTAGGCCAATGTCGCTTATGCTAAATGGTGCCGCAGCCCGCAACTATTGAAAATTGAAAAAGACACGTCAGAAAAAAGGAGATTCACTTATATCTTAACCTTCGTCTTCTTCTCTGGCTCTCCTTTCCCGTCGTTCCCCTCATCTCTTCCTCTTCCTCTCCCCTCTCTCTCTCTCTCTCTCTCTCTCCCTCTCCCTCCCTCTCTCCCGGCTGGCGCGTGTGAGTGGCATGTGACGTAGTTCGGGGACGCGGCCTTCCTAGCCGTAATTTGATTGGCTGTAATGCTCCAGATGAAGGATAAAATCACATTGTCGATATTTAATCTGGCGGATCTCGTCTCGGCTCGATAGGAACCGATAGGCCCCTGGGGAGCGCCGGACAACAGTCCGAACAGACTGCCGGACGGTGGCAGAATCGGGAACCGCGACCCAATGGACTGGGGACGACATCGCACGGTTGGGTTGGGACTGGGCGACGGAGTAGGTACTCTGGTTCAGGGTGTTCCTTTTCGCAGTCATGACTCGAGTCACACACTCGCAGTCTCACTGATCGGAGTCACACGGTGGCACGGAGTCATGCACTGTATCTCACAGGATATAGGTACCTATACAGATTCAAAATTTTAAGGTGGGTCGCCGAGAACATTTCACGTCATGACTATTTTAGTGCAGGAAAGGCTCGTGTTTTGTTGTAGTCGATTGCGCATCGATTACGCGCACTTGGATCGATTGAGCTGACCTTTGAAGAGGGGCACCAGGTTGCCCCAGCAGGTGATTGCCCCCTTGCGATTGAACTGGCCGATGCAGAGCTCCATGAAGAAGAGCGGGATACCGCCGAGCACCAGCATGATGCCGTACGGCACCAAGAACGCCCCTGTAAAAACACCGCAGTGGAAGCGTCAGCAGGGAACGCCAGAAACACCGCTGGGAGACAGACACCACAAGGGGCAAAAAGTTAGGTCAGCCGGTGAAGCCGAGAGAAAAAGGGGAAAGCGTTCAGCGTACAGTACCTAAATACGATGTTTCCCCAGAAATGAGTTTAAATTCATAGGCGGCGGAACGGGGAGGGCACCGGGGCACCGTGCCCCCCTTTGATTTTGGCATTTTAACATTAGCCCTATGGTCGTTGCATGGAAAGAATGGGACCAAAAGTCGGCAGTGCCCCTCCTTAATTGAAGGTGTTCCGCCGCTACTGTTTAAATTTACTCATTGCATGAAGAGAAGTAAATCATTTTACATTTCATCCTTCCCAAAATTCATAGGCGTGTGGGATGTCGGCAGAACCGGTCAGTCTGAGATTACCCCGTGTGAGACGCGGTAGTAACGTTCCGGCGTGTATTGGTGCTCCGCTCCCACTGACCACCAAGGGACCAGGAACCCAGCCGGCCGGCCGACCGCCGGAGGGCAGGGCACGGCAGTGGCGTCTCCAGGGACTCAACTCGGGCACACACCGGCACACCACGCACAACGGAGGCGGGAACACCAGCACATCTCCCCTCCCCTCAGGGGTCCCACCTGAGCTCATATTACAGCCGTAAGTACCAACATAACGTAACAACGAAAACAACTTGACAACAAAATAACAACAAAATAACTTGACAAGTGAAAAGAAACATCACGCTGCGCACACGCAAGCCTATCATCACATCTCCTCTATCAGACGCCTCGGCCGTCTCCTCGTCCGCGTCGACCGTCGGAGCGGCGGCTCCTCGGCGAGACGGGACGTCCCCTGAAGCGGCTGTCGGCCTCCGCTGGGCACCTCGGCGCGACGCTGCCCGGTCGGACCTGAGTTGTCCGATGCACCGCTCCTCTCCGCTAGACACGGTTCAACAACAGCATACCTCCGGCGAAGGTGGCACCGGTTGCGGTCTACACTGCCGCCATCGTCGAACCGCACACGATACCTCCGGAACGGTAGGACGTCAGTCACTGTGCCGCACCTCTCCCACCGGCGGGTGCGGACGTCTTGCACCCGTACATGGGTTCCGACTGGGAACTCTGGGAGATCCCGTGCTCGGCTGTCGTAGTGCTCCTTAGTTTTACGACGGCACTCCTCTCGTCGGTCAGCGAACTCTTCAGGGGGCTGCCGTTTGTAGAGATCAGGGTGTGATGGGAGAGTGTCTCTGATCGGTCGTCCGTACACGAGCTGAGCTGGCGACACTCCGCAGCTACCGGGCGTGTTCCAGTGTTGGAGGATCCCTCTCGTCCAGGCGTCCTCGTCCAGTCTGCACCTGCGAAAGTCCCAGCACCTTCTCAATAGCTTTTTAGCAGCCTTCACTCCAGACTCGGCGAGCCCATTAGATTGTGGATAGTGGGGAGATGATGTGTGATGACTGATGCCCCACTTTCTGAGAAAACTTCGGAACTGATATGATGTGAATTCAGTGCCCCCGTCACTCCACAGTGCCTCAGGAACCCCGATTTGTCGGAAGACATTTAACAAGGCAGATATGACTTTGGTTGTGCCCGAGTGTAAGCCGAGGTATGCTACATGACGCCATCCAGAAAACCCATCCACAACAACAAGATATTTACCTCCAGCGTGACTTCCAATGTCGACAGTCAGATGCTGAAAGGGTCGTCCTGGAAGCTCGTGCTGGATCAGCGTCTCCCGCTGTTGGGAGGGGAGCTCACTCTGACAGCGGTCGCACGACTTTGTGACGTGATCGACGTCAGCATTCATTCCTGGCCAAAAGACGATCTGTCTTGCTCTGGAAATTGTCCTTTCTCTCCCCAGGTGCCCCGCGTGGAGTGTCACGAGCGTTCTCTTCCGCAGGGATGGGGGTATAACGACCCTGCATCCACAAAGAACGATTCCATCGTCCACTGTCAGGCGATCTCGAACTGGCCAGTACCTTTTGACGGCTTCTGGGACCTCTGATTTACTGTCAGGGAAGCCGTTTCGAATGACTTCTGCCAGTAGCTGGAACTCGTGGTCCGCAGCAGCAGCCTCCCGGACCTCTTTGAGACTGATGTCGACGTCATGGGCCTTGAGTTCACTGATGACGATAGACTGGATGCAGGAAGTCGTTGCATCCTCTCCACACTCGTCGTCTTCGTTTGGGTGCTCGATCGGGTTCCTAGACAGGGCGTCTGCAGCGCTGTGCTGGGAGGCCGGTACCCATCTTGCTGAGATTGTCCCAAACTCGCTCATCCGTAACTTGAGACGCTGCAGCCTTGGATTTTCAATCTCGTCTAGCGTCTTGCTATTGAGAATTGGTACGAGAGGACGATGGTCCGTGATTACTTCGATGCTCGGAAGTCCTCCGATGAACAGGCGGCACTTCTGTAGGCCCCAGCATACAGCGAGCGCCTCAAGCTCGATGGTCGCGTACCGCGTTTCGGCATCACTGAGGAAGCGTGATCCAGCTTGGATGACGTGCCATCGCCCATCCTTGTCAGCTTGTCGCAGAACAAAGCCCAGACCCTTCTTGCGACTCGCGTCGGTTGCGAGCATCGTCGGCCTGGTGGGGTCGAAGAAGCCGAGAGTCGGCACCGAAGCAAGGTGTTCCTTCGCTCTCTCGAACGCCCGCTGATGATGCTCTTCCCACAGAAAGGTGGTTCTTGGACTCAGAAGAGAACGAAGCGGCTCCATTAGCTCTGCTACACTGTCGGTGAATGGGGACAGCTGGTTGATGAGTCCGAAGAATCCGCGTAAGTCGGAGATGTTACGCGGAGTCGGGAACGCAGATAGAGCTTGAGTCAGTTGCGGGTTTGGCTTGTACCCCTCTTGTGTCACAATGAAGCCGGCAAACTTTGCGGAGCGTTGAGCCAGTTGGAGCTTTCCCAGGTTGAGGGAAATGCCTCGTTCCTCGCATCGAGACAGAAATTCCCGAACGTGCTGGATGTGCTCTTCCAGTGTGCTGCTGAAGATGATGACGTCATCTACCACTTTCCGGTAGTTATCGGGCATTCCCTGCAGTGCCTCGTCCATCCTCCGGTTGTAATGCTCGGAGATCGACGAGACACCATACGGGGCGCGTTTGAAGGCAAATCTCCCGAACGGTGTGATGAAAGTTGTCAGTAGCCTACTTTCTTCCGCAAGCGGGCACTGGTGGTATCCCTTGGCAGCATCAACCACTGTGAACCATTTGGCCCTCTTTCCGACAATGGATGCTACTTCTTCTGCTGGAGTCGGTGATTGATAGCGTTCTCGACGGATGTGTTTGTTCAGCATCGAAAGATCCACGCAGAGCCGGATGCCGCCTCCCTTTTTAGCGCTGACAACGATCGGTGCGCACCAGTCAGTCGGAGTCGTCACCGGGAAGATGATGTCTTGGTCCTCAAGACGTTTCAGCTCCTCTTTCAGAGGGTCACGATACGACAGTGGTACCCGTCGTGGCGCGGTGACGCAGAATGGCACCGCATCTTCACGGAGATGGATCTTGTACTCCTCTCCTGGCATGCACCGAATGTTGCCATCAAACACAGTGGGGAATTCCTGCACGAGGTCTGGGATCTTCGTGGCACGTTGCTCCTCTCGGTGCTCGGGAGTGGCTATCTGACCGTTGGTCGTACAGTGAGTGCTCGGAGTTAGTGTCTCTTCCCTGACCTGGGATGTAGATGGCAGTGCAGCTTGGCGACAGCGCGGTGCGGATTCCGCCCGCACAGATGTCGCCACAAAGCGGTCGGGTTGCGTTGTAGATGGCGCTGGCATGGCCGTGCTGCGCAGTCCTCCGGTCGAGCTTGCTTGATCTTCAAAGACCGGGGTAGCAGTCGTACTGCTGTCGTCTGGAACTGCCGGGTGTCTCGAACCAGCGCTGTTGACGTAGGGCGTCGAGGTCGCGCTCTTCATTTGACGCGGGTAGTCCTTTGGAATAATGTTTAACCGGCGGGTGGTCCTCCATGACATCAGCAGACCCGTGACGCGCGGAAGAATATGTATGTCGTCATCAACCGTGACGTCACCCAGGGTGATACGAACGGGAAGAACGCCGATAGACTTGACGGTGGCTCCGTCAGCTGCTTTCGGGTGCTCGTTGGGCGGTAGAAGGTTCTCAGGGAACTCATTCATGTCGTCCAGGAACTGGATACCTCCAACACTGATGTCCGCTCCGGTGTCGGGCAGCGCGTCCACATCAGCAGAGTAGTACGCCTCTACGCGTACCCGCACCCTCGGGGCGCCCTGTACCGATGCAGACGCGATGATAGCCGATGTGCTGGGGCTCCGGCGGTCCACGTGATTCGCCGTTTCACCATCCCGCCGGAAACGGACTCGGCCGTACCCGTCTGGAGACTGCCGTCGGCGACTACGAGAGGCGCGACGATCCCCTGTCGCTGCACGGTGCCGATCGCGGGGAGATGGTGACCGGTACACCTCTCGGGGCGGCGACGACATGTGCCGACCTCTCGGAGACTGAGGCCGGTCTCGCGGCGGAGATGACAGGTACCGATCACGGAGCGGTGGGGACCGATACCGGTCCCGGGGCGGCGGGGATCGGTACCGTCCGTACGACCCCTCGCGGCTCCGCCGGCCGTCGGTCCTCGACCGGCACACAGCTGCGAAGTGGTCCGGTCCCCGGCAGGCCCGACACCGCAGCCCGCGGGCGGGGCACTGCTGGCCTGGTCGGTGCGTCCGCCGACCGCAGCCAGTGCAGGCGGCCGGACCGCCACCGGCCCGGGGCGACCACACCTGCAGGGCCGACGGGCCGTCCGCAGTGCCGCCGTGCAGCTCCCGTGCGTCGCGAGATGCCGCCTCCTGCGCCCTGCAAACAGTAACAGTGGCCGACAGAGACAGGTCCGGTGTTGCACACAGACATCGAACGGTCTCTGCAGACCTCAGACCCATAATGATTCTATCCCTTATAAGCGAATCGCGACATTCAGTGCAAAAATTGCAGCTGCGGGCGAGTTCTCTAAGGGACGTTAAAAAGTCATCAAAGGATTCGCCCTGTTCCTGTACCCGTTCGTTGAACTTTTTGCGCTCAACGACCTCATTGATTTGGCCGTTCGCGTATTTCTCTAGAGCCTCGATGGACTTTCTCACGTCAGTACGATCGGGTCCACTTAGCTCCAGGTTCCGAAGCACTCTGATTGTGTCGTCCGTGAGGCAGTCTCGGAGAGCGGCTATCTGAATGCGGGGCTCTGCCCGCTCCAGACCAGACAACAGCACATAATCTTCCCATCGCTCTCGCCAGACGTGAAATAACTCGCCTCGGTCGCTGGCGATGTCCAGCCTGTCCGGTCGCGCGTGCCGGCCGGCCCACGTCGGGCCAGCTCCTGCAGCTGGAGCCACGACACCACTCCGCGAAGCGTCCACAGTCTCACCGTTATGAGACATCGCCGTCACTCGTCGGTTCCGCAACACTTATCACTTAACACCGCGGTTCACTACCCTGCAGGCTGCGCCATGTGAGACGCGGTAGTAACGTTCCGGCGTGTATTGGTGCTCCGCTCCCACTGACCACCAAGGGACCAGGAACCCAGCCGGCCGGCCGACTGCCGGAGGGCAGGGCACGGCAGTGGCGTCTCCAGGGACTCAACTCGGGCACACACCGGCACACCACGCACAACGGAGGCGGGAACACCAGCACACCCCGTCCATTACGTCAGTGTCCATGTCAGCTGTATTTCTATTTGATTGTGTCCGAAAAAGTCCGTTTTGCCACCGATATATGACGCACACGAACGCTATACGCTGACTACTTTTGCTTACGGACGGCTTAATGTTATGCCGATTAACTGCTTGCTGTTTGTCGTCAGCTCACGGTGCCTGTTCTACCGTCCCGGAAGGGTCGCCCATGCCGTCGCGCTACCGCCGCTCACAGAGCGCCCGTGCTACCGCCGCTCACAGAGCGCCCGTGCTACCGCCGCTCACGGAGCGCCCGTGCTACCGCCGCTCACAGAGCGCCTGTGTTGCCGCGGACAGGTCACCGGTGCTCCTTCCGCGGACAGGTCGGCCGCCCGGCTCTCCGATCGGCGCCGATAGCGGCGGCCGGCAGCGGTCGGGGACGGCGCCGCCACTTCCGGACCTCCTCAGACCCCCCCCCTCCCCGCTACTTATTACCGACGGACCTCGGTCCCATCGCCCCATCGCGTCGCCTCTTCCTGCGTCGCACGCAACCGGCGACAGGCGTGGGGCTCGGGCCGACCGCTAAACCGCGCCGAGCCCCCTCGAGATCGGCTGCTGCGCGTCTCCCAAATACTCCTATCCGGAGAGATACGGTCGCTGGAGGGCCGCCACGGCCACTTGTCGCTGATCTCTTAGAGAGAAGTCGAAAGAGTGGATTTACCACATAGCTCATCCTGTCTTTCATGTCAGAATTCCTTATGTATGTAGTTTCTGATGCATTCTGATGCATTCTGATGCAAGTTATTGCCTACTGTCTCCTGTGCATAAATGCATCACATGTATCAGTTATTACAGGGGAGTCATCGAAAGTTTATATTGCACGGGCCTGTACCATAGACATCAAGCTTGTTGTGTCATCATGTCGGAACACACAAGCACACAACACTTACATACGGATTTGTACACGTACGCCACTATAAATACTGCCATATGCTAATAGTTTTCGCCAGGTTTGTGATATTACGGATTGCTGTCGCGCGCTTCTGCGGCTCTGGCCATTAGGAGCATTGCTAGGCGGTAAGTAGCGCCATGTCGCCATCACGGGTCGTCGGAGGCGACCATTGACAGCCGCCTCTGATGGCGGAGTCGTTAGCGGACAATCCACGTCGTCGTCGCCGTATTCAGCGCCAGTCGAGCGGCAGGAGCGACCAGTCAGGGAGTTCAGGCCCCCAATAGCACGAATGGAGAGAAAATCACGGGCAATAGGAGCACTCAGTGGGGCAGTGAGGGCCGGTCGGCTGACGCCGCGCTACCCGACTCTCGGGGCCTTCTGAGAGAACTCACACTGCGGGGGCTGCAGCGGGGCTCGATCAGCTTCGGAGGAGGTATTTGATCGCCCAGATCGATAAGTTTTTGCGCATTACAAAGTTGCGGGCATTTGGAAGGCATAAGCTTCAGGACTGTAGGAGTGAACTGCTCTTACCGGGGAGTGTTAAAGGTAGTGTGCCACCTTTGAAAGATTTCCCATTTTATTTTTCCTAGGAAAAGAAGCTTCTGTTTTTACCTAATATCGCAACAAAAATAAAAAATGGGCCTGGAATAGTGCCTTTTTCGCCTAAAAGTTTATCGGTTTTTCGATATGTATAACAACTGTAGTGGGCTGAGCTGCAAACAGGCGTCGGCAACAATCGCGAATGCGGCGTACATGTGACAATAAGCAAAGGTCATTATAGAGTTACGACGTACGGGAATGAGTTATCAGCTGTCTAATCGTAGACAACACAATGTCGAGCCTTAAACTGTAAGCCTGTATTGGTATTGTTTCTTTTATTTGGCTGTCGAACATTATTTATGGTTTGAAATATGATTTTATGTAAAATAATTGATATGAAAAAGCCGTCTCTTAAGTTATGACCCCATTTCACCACACGCAAGTGGCAGAAATGACAATGATCAGCTGACGCATTTTTCTTGGCCGAAGTCAGAGCGCGCGGCCCGACGCACCACCACCGCACCACAAAGTATGAGCAGAAGCCGCGCCCAAAGCCAGGGCCCCGGTAACGTGAGGTAGCCGAGTCGGTGCAGCGTGCGCTGACCCAAGCCGGGGCCGCAGCTTTGGGCGCGGTCTACTGCATCCCCCCGGGCTATCACATGACACCGGGAGGACGCGCGGCCCCGGCTTGGGTCAGCGCACGCTGCCCCGACTCGGCTACCTCACGTTACCGGGGCCCTGGCTTTGGGCGCGGTCTACCACACCCACTGGCGGATCCAGGGGGGGGGGGCCACGGGGGCCATGGCCCCCCCCCCAAAGGCCTAAAGTGGCCTGTTTGGCCCCCCCCAAAACGTCAGAAAAAAATCTAAGAAAATATACCTTGATTCCACAGGGCGTTTTCACAAGTTTCCACAGCATAATATGGAAGCAATATGGTAGCAGTGAGGGTCAGTCAAAAGTTGCGCGAGCGGAGTCGACCTTCAAAAAAAGGACGACGGTGAAAACAGGGCGCCTGGGGCGATTTGATCAAGGTTCGTGAAATTCACACGTGACATTTAGGATGTAGAAGGCCCCTGGAGGGGGAGAACTTCCAAATATCACGTGACTAATATGCCCTCCGGCGCCCTGTTTTCACCGGCGTCCCAAAAAAAGACTGTTGTTGGCACGTGTTTATGGCGCGGCAGCTGGTAGTTGGCGGTGTTTCGCGTGGTGTGGCATCACTGGCGGAGCCGGGGGGGGGGGGGGGGGGGTAGCACGGGAGCCTGAGGTGCCCCTGACAGGCCCGTGGTGCCCTTGCTAGGCCTGTGGTGCCCCTGGACCCTGGCAGGCCTGTGGTGCCTCTGGCGGGCCTAGGGTGCCCCTGCTAGGCTGCTGATGCCCCTGGGACCTGACAGGACTGTGGTGCCCCTGACAAGCCTTAAGTGCCCCCAACAGGCCCGTGATGCCCCCGACAGGCCCAAGGTGCCCCTGCGACCTGCGTGATGCCGTGATGCCTGCGAGGCCGGTGGTGCCCCTGCGAGGCCGGTGGTGCCACTGCGAGGCCGGTGGGGCCCCTGACAAGCCCATGGTGCCCCTGCGAGGCCGGTGGTGCCCCTGCTAGACCGGTGGTACCCCTGGCAGGCCTGTGGTGCCCCTGCTAGGGCGCTGGTGCCCCTGGGCCCTGACAGGACTGTGATGCCCCTGACAGGCCCAAGGTGCCCCTGTAAGGCCAGTGGTGCCCCTGTAAGGCCTGTGGTATCCCTACTAGGTCTCTGGTGCCCCTTTGACAGGCCCATGGTGCCCCTGCGAGGCCGGCGGCGCCCCTGGCAGGTCTCTGGTGTCCCTGACAGACCTGGGGTGCCCCTGACAAGCCTGTGGGGCCCCTCACAGGCCCGTGGTGCCCTTGCTACTTGCTAGGCCTGTGGTGCCCCTGGCGGGCTGGTGGTGCCCCTGCTAGGCCGGTGGTGCCCCTGACACGCCTGTGGTGCCCCCGGGCACCAAGGGGGGTCATGACCCATGTGGCCCCCCTTGGATCTGCCACTGATGCATAAAACATTGATTTGTAAAGGCGTTATGGCTTATGCAATATGCAATTGCAGGCACTTGATATGCCTCACTTATCCCTTATTGGGGGCTCTGGCGGGCTCCTGAGGGCCCACGTCTATCTCCGGGAGCCCTTGACAGGCTCCTTTGGGTCCTTTCAGTCCACTATAGCATAAGAGGTCTCCATGCGAGTCCTATACATCTGAGGGCGTACCCTGACGTCTGAGGTACCCAACTGCAGCTCCAATGGTCTCTTACACTGGCGGATCCAGGGAGGGGGCATTTAGGGCCATGCCACCTTCCCAGAGGTCTAAAGTGGCCCGTTTGCCCCCTCCCCCAAACGATAATGAAACATAGTTCAATCAGTGCGTGGCCTAGGAGCCGAGTTAGACAGGGGGTGTTTTACCACCTCCCGGCCCGCAAAGGGACCCAAGCACTGACTCGAAGCGGGTTAACTGTTCGACAAAAGCAATGGTAAGTGCTTACAAAGTAATATAAAGGCATGGGTCGGGTGGGCTACCATTTATATATTTTTTCTTTCTAGTTAAAAAAAAAAATCATAGTGTCGGGGCTGTGACGAAAAATAAGTGGCCTAAATCCGATGAGAAAACAGGATTTGGGGGTACCCTAGGTTTGGCTCCAGCATGAGTTGGCCCCCCCCCCAAAACGCAAGCCTGGATCCGCCAGTGAGTCCGCACCACCTAACAGGCGTGTTCGAAACCGCAGGAGATGATGATGAACGGGTTTATCGAAACTTGATTGGATGAGCATATCGGTAATAGCGATTTCAGTGTGTGCATTTATTGTTCATAGTGGTGTGAAATGTGGTTGGGGTACGACCGACAACCCGTCGGGGCGAATTTCGCACTGGGGTACTCAAAATTTGAAGAATTTAAGACGTTTCCATGAGTTTTGAAGGTATGGATAAGTTCTAAAAATCCGGTTCTCCTTATCTGGGCCATTAACTCCATACGGTCCAGGAAAGCTGGCACACTACCTTTAAAGGCGTTTGTAAATAATCAGACATGATTGAGTTTTATTCACGAATCACGATCGATGGCAACACAAGTCAAATTCCTAAAACCAATTTTTATTAATTTAGGAATTTGACTTGTGTTGCCATCGATCGTGAATAAAACTCAAGTGTTAAAGGCTTGAGTGCAACAAAATGCGATGAAAAGGTCAAATGCAGCTGCGTGAACAGAGTAATTCTCAGGAATTTGGGAAACCACCAAAATGGGCTGTATGTAAACCACACCACAAATGTCAACTGTGATTCCCTTTACATTCTTCCAGTTTAGAGAAAAATGGTTAAAAATTGTGTGACGCTGCTTATCATTCGAATAAGGCAGCTATAAAATTTTGTCAATAAAACATTAGCCTCTACCTTTACGTACGGGAAGTACCCGGATACGAGCCGCTTACGGCGGAGGTAATATAAGCCTAAGATGACGTATCGTACGTATATTGTAT